TGTGAGCTGGGTAGGGGGTAGACCAGACCAGGCAGGGCCACAGCACCTGTGCACCTCATGTAGACCAGATCGGAGGAAAATCGGGCTGGGCTGATTATTCCTACTGGTGCAATCTACAATTAGAGTGGGTGAGGGTTGTTGGGGCTTAGTCGCATCATCGGCTGGCGGAGCCTGGCACAGGGGGCTAGTCATGCCGAGTTGAGCCAAAGGGCCACCTGGAGAGGTCATAATTGGGGAGTGGGAGGGACTTGGGAGGGAAATAGTAGGCTCCTCCCTCTTGGGTTACCAGCCCTCCCCCCCAGGATGGCACGGGAACTAGGACGGGGGCTGGGGTGGCTAGACAGATACCCAACAACATCCGTGAGGGCTGGATGGATGAGACTGTTGGATGGAATTAGGTCACAATACCCGTTGACGTGTATGTGAACAGAAGGGAATGTGGGACAGACTGGACTAGTCTGCCATACATACTGGCAAGCCAGGGTAGGGGTTGGGCCTGGTTGGAGTTCCTGTGGGTCGCTCCGATGGGGCTGCAGCTCCCACTGGTTTGTGTGAGGGCCAAGTGTGTGCAGGGCAGAACCAGGCTGGACTGCAACACCCATTGGTTCCAGTGGAAGACATGGATGGAGACAGAACTGACCCAGCAACTGCAACCACCAGCTAGCTGATCAGGGTGATGGACTGTGCAGGGACCTGTGCTTGCTAGAACACGCAGGAATCTGAACTGGGAATACCTCAAAATTTCTTTGGGGATCTCCTGAGTTGAGATGCCGGACTCAGAGGCCTAACCAAGAAAAGACAGAATAAGTCAATCAACAACCTCAGCTATTTGTCGGCAGCGAAATACTGGGCAAATGGAAACTCTATAAGGGAATGTGTCAATCAGTGGATTCTTTGATGACCTCATCGTGCTTGGAGTGGCGAGACTGGTAGCGATCCATGAATGGTCAACTATCGAAACCACTTGAGCGAGTATCTCAGAGCGCGCCCCACATCCGGGAGTTGGGGATGGGTGGGAAACCGGGTGGGGCTTCCCCCTCTATATCCCCCTTTACCTCAGATACATGAAGGAAGCAGTATGGAAATGGTGGTCTTACCCACTTCCCTGTAGCCCTTGAACCTTTTTTACCCTAATTAGGTAAAGATTGTCAAAATGTAATAAAAACATTTATATATATATATAAATGAAAGAAAAGACACCAATAGGATGGAGTCTGGGAGAAATGTACCTCGCCTTTTTCCCCGGTGTGGTCACAGACAACAACAAAGCATTGCTTACCTGCTCCTCAGTATTCAAAGCTGCTAAGCCTCTGATATGCCAATCATGGACTGTCCACGTGACTCCCTTTAGTATCTTAGTTTCTAGCCAGTTAAGAGATCAGACAGATACAGCATGATCCAGGAGCAGCTCCAGTAAAAAAAAAACAGGCATTCACCATAAACAGCATCATTACTGCAAAGGGCTGGTCCTGAATCCTTTTGGAATGTGCAGAATTTGGTCAACATAGGCCTTAATTCAACATAGTTGAACTTATTGTGCAACAAAGAATTAATTAGCAATCAAGTGTTGTGAAAGATGTTTTGAAAGTTGGTAAGATCTTTCATTTCTAAATCTTTGTAATTAAATTCTTTCAAACGTTAAAAAAAAAGACTTCACTTTTGTGTGTGAAGAAAGTGATAACAGTAACTTTCAATTTCTCTAAGAATATTTTTCAATTCACAATAGTTAATGTATAGAACCAGCCCAAGTGGATGACTGGATAAAAAATTGCAAAATGTGTGTATGTGTGTATATAAACTATGGAATAATACTCAGCCATAAAAAGAATAAATTTTTTGCAACTAACTGGATGCAACTGGAAACCATTAGGCTTAGTCTAATAAGCCAGTCCCCAAAAGACAAATGTGTTTCCCCTAATCTGTAATAACTAATACACAGAGAACCAAAAGTGTAACTTATGAGATTGACAACCTGAGAACTGGTTATTGTATACAGCCATTGTATATACCACTGAAGAATAGTAATTTTTTCTTTTTCTACTTGCTATGTGTTGATAGCCTTACCTGACATGACTACAAAGCCTGTGACTACGAAGTGAAATCAAAACCTGCCAGGTAAAAGTTAGTGGGAGGTGGGGTAGACAGTATCACTATCCTCCCAAATCTGCTCTGAAACACATGAAATATTTTCATCTTCTATAAATACAAATAGTAACAAAGAATATCATTATTATATGTTTTATAGCTTTGCCAAAATTTGCAAGCACTTTGGCATTTTAAATTAGAAGAATTCATACAAAGTAACTGATAAGTATTCATCTAATAAAAGTGATTTGCTGTTTTAGGCAGAGTGTTACAATCAACATTTCAATTGATCCTTACAACAGTTTTGAACAGATGAGTAAATTGAGGCACCAACAGGTTGACTGACTCCCTCAAACCAATCTTAGCTGTACAAGAGGGAGCCAGGATTCTAGCATCAGCTGTATAATTCTGAAGACTTCCTTCCTAAACTTCAATGTATGCCAAGAAATTAAAATGGGAGGTTATGAAATTAAGAAATCAGTGAAAACTTTGCCAGAAGCAATTTCAATAAAATAAAGATAAAAGACATTTCAAAAGATGCAAAGGGGAAATATAATTAAACAAAATGAATTACTAAGCCATTTATATTGAACTACATGGAATTTCCAGTAATCAACCATTTTCACTTTTAATAATGACTTTCATATGGGTCAACCTCATATCAGTTTATTTATGGCTATCTTCTTTAAGAAACTTAATCTTAGAATTCAAAGATAGAAAAGAAGTAAATGACAGACATTTTCAAGCTCTCCAGCCTGTATGCATGTTTTCATGGCAGATCTGGGAGATGTTTCATGCCTTCTTATTCTGACATGAAACAAAGAACTTTGTCTATGGTTAAAATACCACACATGGGTTTTGTGAATTATATTGCAGTAACTCGTACACACGCAACCTGTACTAACCAACCAACCACAATGCTAGAAGTTTAAAAGAACACAGCTTTTGGTTGCTTCCAGAAATAAAAGTTATCAGCAATGTTGGATTGTTGAATTCTAACTAAGATGCACATGAAATACAATGATTTTGCAAACAACACCACCATCTTTTTTTTTTCTCCAGAAGAATTTCTCTTATATTTCCTGATATTTTTAGACTCCCTTCACTGATTTCCCACTGAATTCAAGTATTGACTCCATCATTATCTAAATTTACAACACTTCAACAGAAGCTCAAAGACCCTTAAGTTTAAGGCCTAGGACTTGAGGATGTACTGAGATCCTAACCCTGGCCTCCTGCCTTCTTGTCCTTAGTAATTTCTGCTATGTTGTAATAAACCTATTTTTTCTCCCTGTTATGTAATCTGATTTTCCTTTCCTTTTCAACTGAAATTCTGAATCAGCTAATCTTGATAATTACTGGGACAGGAAGCAAGAGACTGAAATGACTCTAATCAGGGGGCCCCTGACTATAAGGAGTGATTCTATTAGAAGCATGTGTCCTAAAGCTGGGGCTCTACATCTGTTTTCCCATGCTTTTAAATTTCCAGTTAGTTTTAGATGGCTCCAGCAGGCTTTTCATCACTGCCTTTGCCTTGCCCTTCAGTGTGTACTTGGTTGAGTGTTCTTGTTTCCTGTTTCTGAACTGTGGCTCCCTTGAATTGGGTCGCACTTGCCGATCTGGTTAATATTGGCTGCTTGACCTCTAAAGCTTGAACACTGCCTTTGCTATGTTTGTAGTTTTTTTTTTCCTCAATGAAAGATTATACTGTAAAATCGAGATGTGTGGAGACCATTGTGAATCTCACCCAAAAATCCTTTAAGACTGCTTAACATTGATCTCAGTTGGAGTTCTCTCTGCAACCTTGGTGACTAGAGGTGGGGATAGGGGTCACACAGTTTACAAATGACACTTCCAGATGCAGGTGAACCTCAACTTCAACATATTCATGGGACACCCAGTACTTCTTTTGCCTGTAGAGATCTGTGGCACCCACATGATCAATTTTTAATAAAATCTCTTAGCTATTCCCCTGATCAGATTCCCATTAAGTCCTATAAGAATGTCAGTGGTTAAATTCCTGGTTTGGCTTGCCTGCCCTTCTCTCCATTCCACAAGTGGAGTGCTTCATGCTTCACCAGTAACCATGAACTACCTTTGGTTTAGCCCAGCCAGCAACTTCTTGTACAGTTGGCAATAAGCACAGTCTATGCGACGGAATCTGAATGGAACAGTGGGAAATGACTCCCATTCCAAGCCAGTTTATTCCATGTGAACCTTTCTTCTACCAACAGGGGGTTCTTTACAATGTTTCTCTATCTGTTTATATAGCAGGGATTTCCTCACACTTTTCCTGTTCTGTCTTGCACTTTTCCTGTTCTGTCTTTGCATGGATCCTGACTGATACAGTTACCTTGAGAAAACCAATGTTTTGGTAGAGTCATATGCTAAATGTGACCAGGCTACTTGTTATCAAATGTCTTTTCTGGCTTTAGAATTACAGTTCTAGGAAGTACAGAGGGTTTGTTTTTTTCATATATGGAGTAAGCTCTAAGAATATTACATATAACCATACAGCGCTGTACAATTATGAATCTTTCTCTCCTGAGTCCATCACAGTAAATAGCAGGGTCTCTCCCTTCTTTTTGGAATAATGGTTTTTACCTCCTGGGCCAAAATATTAAGTCGCAGCAGCAGCCAGTGTTATTTCATGAACACAGTGGGCAACAAAACACCATAAAACTGTGAGGGTTTTAACTGGGATATCAAGAAACAAAATGTGAAAAACTAGAGGTTCCTTTATGAATGAGTTTAAAACATTATAGTAATCACTTCATCTACTTGTGAATATAAATATTGAATGGTTACATTATGTGTGGAAAAATGCTCCTTCTGAACATTTAGTTCATCTTAACACATGACAAAAGACTCCATTTGCCATCTCTGTTGGTACACAGATTAAATTTTTCTTTTACCTTTCTTTGTCTTTTACCGCCTGTGCAGCCATTAATTTCTTTAGTTCCTCTAGGCGCCTGAGATCTCTCATTTCCATTTCTTGCCACTTCTGTTCTTTCTCAGCCAAGTATTTTTTTATCTATTGTACAAATGTAACATAAGATTTCAATTAACAGATGTAAAAATGAGGGGGAATGCTATAACATTATCCATTGTTTCATAAAAAAGATCACATTTAAATGGCATTTCATCTTTTTTTTTCATTTGCCTACAATATATTTTCAACAGAAAAAATTAAAATATGAATGCAGATGCCTTGAAAAACATCATGGTTTAACAGATTCTGAAGCGGAAATATAACTTGTACTGAGATCTGAGCTTTTAATCATCAACTTTCAGGGAACCACGTTAAAAGCATGTTATTTTCCCTAAAATGTATGTTCTACCTGTTACTCAAGAATATTTTTAGACTTATGGTAATGCAATCTTCAACAAACACAGCATGAGAGCTATTTTTTACTTTAAAAGCATGGATTTATTTATGCTAATGGACAGCAGGATGTTGACAGCTCCATGCATCTGGGGAAGTGGCAGGAGATGGGTGGGAGGAAGGAGGAAGCGAACAAATTAGCAGAGTTGTGGTATAGAGTAGTTTTGAATTATGTGGTAAAACAAAGGTCGAGCTTATCAAGTACAAAATGATGAAAGTATTGTCTATAGCCTGCCCTTTTTATTTCTTTTCTCTGGAAATACAGGCAAGAATGAAAATGCAGTAAGGGCACATGTGCTGTCTGTAGAGGGATTAAGCCTTTATTTAGGATCCTTCAATTTGATAAGGTGACTGAACTCAAGAGTTTAATGGAAAGAAGCCCATCCTTCCACTCAACCCCACCATGTTGAGTCTGGATCAAGAGGATGGATCTTATTGATAAAAAGCAAAGTATCAGCAGGGAATAGCTCAGAGTGACCGGCAGCAGGGGGTCTGTTGGAAGAAGAAGAGTCTGCCTCACCTGCTAAGTGACATTTTCTCTTGTAAAAATTATCCTATAAATATAGTAGTTTCACTCCTAGAGAACCAATAAAGCATACATCATGGCCACAGCCAAAAGCAACACAGCAGCCACAATAGTGGCAGCCATTCGATGTTAACTGAATAACTGGATTACTTCAGGATGAAATGATAGTCACTATGGATGACTGAGTTTGTAGGGAGAATAGAGATGGAGCTAGAAATTGTGGGAGCATGAAGAATGAAGAATGAAAAGTAAGAGAATGAAGATCAGTGGAAAAGAGGAAATACTGATGAACAAGGAATATTCTGGAACCTTAACAATTCCAGAATCAATCAAGAAATTCTATGAATGCCAGATTAAAAAATATTGACAATAGTTATGCTATCTCTCTTTGGGAATTCTCAAAAATCTTAATTTTTTTGATATCTTTTAAATAATTTATTCCAGGATACAGTTCCATGGGCTCCAGATTTTCTTCGCTCCTCCCCAAATTCCCACTTTCCCCACTAATTTCCCCCATGTCATTACAATAATATAGTCCTTCACAATCAGTCATCCCCACTAATTTCCCCCATGTCATTACAATAATATAGTCCTTCACAATCAGTCATAAGTGCATCATCTCAACAGATACAGAGAAGGCATTTGTTAAAATCCTACACCACTTCATGCTAAAAACCTTAAGCAAGATAGACACAGCAGAAATATTCCATAACAATCAAAACAATATATGAAAAATCCAATGCCAGCATTATACTGAATGGGGAAAGCTTTGTTGGGTATGTTCTGTGCCAACAATTTTTTTCTTTTAGAATCCGGAATATATTACTCCATTCTCTTCTGGCCTGTAGATTTTCCTGTGAGAGGTCTCCTGTGAGTTTAAGTGGCATTCCTTTATATGTCAATTGACTTTTTTTCACATGTACATTTAAGGATCTTTTCCTTATATTTGATTGAAGAGAGCTTGATTATCATGTGTCTTGATGAAGATTGCTTTTGGTCAACCCTGTTGGGAGTTCTGTGCCCCTCCTGGATGTTGTTTCCCAATTCTTTCTCTAGATTAGGGATATTTTCCCTTATTATTTCATTAAATACATTTGTAAACCCAGCTTTTCTTTCTGCACCTTCTGGGACTCCCATAACTCTTATATTTGGCCTTTTAATAGTGTCTTTCAATTCTTGAATACTTTTTCTGGCCTGATCCGCTCTGCTTCCAGCTTTTTGTTTGCTTCCCCCTGGTGACAGGAAATATCTTCTAATTTTGAGATTCTTTCTTCTGCCTCCTTCATTCTGTGTTGGAGACTACACTGCACTTTTAGTTTGCTCCACTGTATTGTTAATTTTTGATTTATCAGCTTTCATTTGATTCATTTCCAGTGTGACATATTCATTACATTCCTTGAATGCCTGCTTTATGTGCTACTCATTGTTGATAAGAAGTTTTGTAACAAGTTTTCTGAATTCTGTATACCCCATTTTCTCCATCTTCCTCAATGAACTCTGAGGTTGGCAAAGGCTTTCACTGCTTTGCAGGGGAGTCTTCAGTAATATAAATTGTGCCTCTGTCTCTTCTTTTGCTCTTGGTCATTGTACTTCTGGTTATCAGATTCTTCTCCTTGGGGGAAGTTTCTAAGCTCTATCACCCACAGGTCTACAGTTCAATTTTACTTATTGCAGTTGGTACATGGCTCTTCATTTGCAGTCAGTTGTGCCACTCCCTCCAGCAAGTTCCAGGTCTGGGTTCTTAATGTTAAATTTCCACCATGGTCTCAATAGCCCCAGCTCCTGGCTCACTACTCTTCATCTCCTGTGATTCTGTACTGAGGTTGCACCGTTGTCTGTACAATCTTTCTCCCACTTCAGTTGGAGTACGTCCCAGGATTGTGGAGACACCAGCTGTCCTACACAGCTAGATTATTGCTGGTGCTGATCTTGCCAGAACCTGTTAGCCGTTAGGTCTGAGGTCCACACAGACCTATTTTGACCCATACAATGCCATATGCAGTATTATTTTCCTGTGGGACCTGTGCAATGCACTGAGCTCAGTGAGTTCTTTCTAGCTCAGCACATGCACAGCTCACTGTTGTCCCTGCAGACCTGTCTTGGGTACAACCTGTAAGATGCCATGTTCTTGCAGTTCATTGAGTCAGAATGAGTTCACTCCCAGCTCCTTGCATGTTTATTCCTGCCCCATAGCCCTTGCCTCCTTGAACAAAGTGGTGCCTGATATAGCTCTAGGAGGCAGGCTGGGCTAGGAAATACACCCTATTCCCACACTGCCCATCTGGGATCTGCTGCTCTGTCTCTGGGCAAATCAAACAGACCAGCAGGCAGACAGTTCTTGGTCTGGGTTCACCTGTGGAGCTCCCGGTAAATGTCCCTTCCCACCTGGTTGCTGGTGGAGTTCTGGCTGCTGGTGGAATTCAGATTACCGTTAGCTGAATGCTGCTGATGTATCAGTCACTGCAACACCATACTATTGCGTCAGCTGCCTTCCTGTGTCTGTCAGTCTCTGAGTACCCCTCTGCTGTTATTTTGTCCTCTTCTATTTCCTGGGATGTGCCCTCTCTGCTTCACACTGTGTAGTATTTCTCCATCTGTTTAAGCTTGTTCTTTCCCTATTCCACCATCTTGATTCTCCGATGTAGGCTAATTTTATTCTGAATTCTTTTCTGCATTATCTTTTTAGTAATGAATATGTATTTCATAATCAGAAAAACAGAGCTCCTTAAAACTTTTTAAAAATAAATATTTAACTATCAAAGAACATTTTTCTCTGGGTCCCAGAAATCTAATAACCTTTCCTTACTTTCAGCGTCAAACCTCAAGGGAAGGGCAGGCTTTGGCAGACAATCTCTTAATTCATGCAGACCAATCCTAAGCTGCTTGCATTTTCAGTGTTCTGATAACCCTTGTTGTGCTGCCCTGTGTGGCTCCTAGGAGTCTGTGATACCTGAGACTTCTTGAACTCTCAGGACCATTTATTACCATTGCTGTAGTGTAAGCTCCACTCCACCCCCGCACTCTCATGTTACTATCATTCCCAGTGCTTTCTACTGAGCCTCCAGGAATCTACGTATCCTCATACGTTATGCCATGTACATACTCATCCTTTAGAACACCACTTCTTCTTGTCACTGAAATTCTCTAGAGTGAGAGACACCCACATGCTGATGCCCCATGTGCCATGTGGCTGAAGAGTGGTTTGGGACATTATCCGTGTTACTTGCAGGTTTTGTACCACCATGATCCTTTCCAAGAACACTTCCTTTTGCTTTTGATATGCATTTTACCATCTCCCCTTCCTCGACACTGCACGTGGGGATTTTCAGGGCCCAGGTTACAGCCCTCTGCAGCACAGTCCTTCTGCCTTGAATGCCTTGGATCCTTACAGCTTCACAAGCCCTTGACATAATCCAATACAGAAAATCACCTTCTCCAAGATTCTATTTTCATTAAAAACAGTTTCAGCTCTAAGATCTTGAATTCTAAGCATAAATTCTATAGTCAGAACTGCTTCCTTCTCCTAACACTGAAAAACAGCTAGCCTTTAATTAACACATTTTTGAAGACTTTATACCCAGAAGACCAGTATTTCAGCTAAGCACCATAGAATACTTGCTCTTCTCTACCTCTCTACCTGTTTTATTCCTCACTCCTATTTATGATGTCTACCTCAAATTCACTGTTTTTACTGGTGCCTTGCAAAGGATCAAATATTCCTTTAAAACTTCGTTAGATGTTTCTGAATACTCGTTTATTTTAACCCTGAATAGTCTCAAAAACATGATTGTCCTTCAGTTGTTCAACAGACATTCTTTGAGATGTAATTGAAGCCAGTTTCTCTGCCTGTGCTTGGAACATGGTACTTAGAGAGAGTAAGCCTCTGTCCCATGGAACTGATACCTTATGGAAGGGAGAGAAACAATAATAGGTAAATGAACAGGCCAGTACACTGAGTGTGAACTTCTAAGATGGAAACAAGGGATCATTTAGAAAAGTTTGGAAAAAAATATTAGACATTTTAAAGACAATTGGAGGAAAACATGAAAGATGAGAAATTAGCCATGAGTGGGAAAATATAACAGAACTTTGGAAAGAGGGGAGAAGATAAGGCCAAAGCAGC